TATTTAGTTTGACATTTGAACAAATCAGGTGCTAATTTTGTTGTAAAATAATTATTGATGATTATTCGATTTTGTCATGATATTTAAAAAATAATTTTACTTTAGAAGTATTTAACTGAGTGCATATTTTGTAAATAATTAAATTAAAATGATAATGATAATAAATTGTGGATCATATGAAATGTGTGAATCTTATAAAATATTCAGAAAAAGTATGTTCAATTTGACCATGATTTATTAAATCAGCAGTGCTTCATGTACAGAAGCCATTTTGACAGAAAATTCACAGAAAACACACGTGTGGGTTCTGCACATTATTTTTTGTTTTTTAATACATGGTGGGGCCCACTCATTCTGGTGAATTTCTGTAAAACAATTTCTGTACAAATGGATTTTTCCTTATTAAATTATAATCACTATCTAATTAGAATATATCATTCGTACCTATAGGTTCAAGGATTTTTGGTTTGGCGGGTAGTCGACAATGCTAAGGCAGTCGACGGCTAAGATAGTTGACATAACAACATTTGAAGAAAATAATAAATCTACATATATTATGCTAAAACTCTATTATAAAAATAGAGTTTGATTACACAACACAGAAAAAAAAAATTGAAAGATTTTAAGAGCCTGTTTTAGATTCATTTTTATGATGAAAATTCATTTTGGAATAGTATTTTAATGAAGAATATGTAATTAAAAAATTTTTAAAAAAATTGAATTTACGCGCAATATTATTTTTATTGAAGAATGTGTTGTCCAAAATAAGTGGGAGAAAAATATATTTGAAAAATAATAGAAATCAAACAATGACTAAATAGAGCATCTATGGTGCTAGATGTCATTGTTCAAAGAAATGTGTGCTTACTTGGTTTTGTGTTGCAATTTCAACATTTTTTTTTACCTAGATCAACTTGGATGTGACATGTTCACGTTAATCCATCTAAAACGATGCTTAGTCTATGTTTGGGCTCTATTTTTTAAGAAATATGTTTTTTTTTAAAATTTATTTTCAACCACAGATTCTTCTATTAAATAATACATACCTAAATCCAAATTTCTTTCTTATTTTTTAACTACATATTTTTCAAAAAATAACTATTTCAAAATACATTTTCTTCAAAAAAATTCATTTTAATGGAGCACGAATAGGGGCTTAATATACTTTGCTTTAATTTAGCTCCTGTTTGAGGCCTATTATTTCATCAAATTGAGTTTTATAATAGTAAACTTTAGAGAATCTGTTGTTAAAAAGTAGGAATTTTTTTTGTTATTACGTGTAAAATATTTCACTGTGAGAATATTTGATTGAAATGAGTTTACGAAACAAATGAGTTTTGATATAATGTGAATCAAACATGGGCTAAGTAACAAAATTCGTGGTCTAGCTTAATAAATCAGGGGAATAGTTTATATAGTAATGCTATGTAGTCCCATCGAGATTATAACCATTTTCTGTAACATATATGACTGAACAGGCGTCAGATTCTTCAAACTTCGATTGAATATTTGAAGTTGAAATTTGTACATGTATGGATTTTGCTTTGCAAAAGGTTGTTTACCATTTGTGCATATGAATTAAGTAGACAATATCTTAGATATACAGACACAAATCTCACGTTACCCCATTTTGAAGGTAAAATGTATTATGGAATAGTATTTTTTCTTTTTTTTTTTTGAAAATGTATGGTTAACAAGTAAGAATTTTTTTT